TGCAGTTTACGCTTTGACAATGAAGAGCCGACCCAGCTCTTTGAAACGTCAGCAGTTAAATAAACCTGTTACGGAGAGCCAATTTTCTTCTAATAATCTTCCCGGATCTCTAAACTTTTCCTATCTGAACATCGACATTTAGCAAAATGACAAGAATTCATTGGTGTGTTCAAATACGCCTCCTGATGTATGCTGAAGGCGTCAAACTTGCCACATTGCTGCAATTCTTTCTCTCACCGTCTTTCTGGTAATGTAGACGATGCTGTCAATAGCCGAGATCCTGCAATTGCAACAGGCTTTTGTCTGCTTTCTCGGCTCAATGTTTTTGGAGCACGGTTTCCATTTAACTGACCTCAGTTGTAAAGAACTGGATGAAAGTTATCATCGGGATTAAATCATATCAGTCACTATAGCCAATAGTGTGATGGTCACAAGAAAAGCAGTCGTACAATAAGATGCCGCCGGAATCTCTAAGTCGGGTTGAAAATATTTCGATCCGTTATAATTGGCTGAATGAAGGCACAAGAAGCCCAAACTGTACTGTATCAATTTTCCCACATTCTCTGTTCTCCCTCATCGCTGTTATTATGACTTGGTCGACTTTGCCCTGGTAATTGGTATCTTGTTCGTGACCTTTGACACACTTACGCAGCTTGTTTGCCTCGTGAAGCCAATATATCTCTGCGCGCCCATTCGTGATTGAATATATATATATATATGTATATGAGAAGAAAAGGCGGCCTCGGGAATCATGGTTTTACTGTTCTGGCCTTTTAAAAGCAAACAAGCTTCCATCGTCGGAGGTGAGCGTGGTATCGCGCCTTGCATTATTTATAGGTGGGTGAAACTCATGTCAGGACGGGTTTTCTTAAATATGATGTCTGGGCGGCAGGGAGGAAGGGGCGGAGAGGGAGTCCTACAGCGTTTTTTCGCTGGATGAGGAGGTAGTGTATCAGCTTAAGTGGTCACCAGCCGCATGCACACATGAACTGTGGGGGGCGGGGGGAGGGAGTTAGGGTGGCGGAATGTACTCAGTCTTCATCGGCGGCCGTCGTTGAGACATTGGTAGCCGTCGTTCGTACGTTTATTGACCGTAGCTGGCGTCCAAGCCTGGCAATCTTGTTTACGCCGCAACGACTGTCCGTTTTCTCGTCCAACGGACTAGTAGATGGACGGGCTGTGGTGAGGTCTGCGCCTTCGTCGGAAACTGGTTGAAGGGTGGCTGAGTGTGTATTCGCCATGGACTTGCTCATGTCTGGATTCATGTTTAGCCTGGGTGCATGTCTGCTCATATGTTTACTGAGCTGCGTCCGAAGGGCTTGGTAGGCAGCTGTAAGAGCCACACAACGGTTGATGGGGGTTGTCCCCGTGTGCCAAGCCTCGATTGTTTCCCTGGACATGCGGTTCCTTCGCCGGCCCAGAAATTCTGCGTGCTGAAAGGCGAACGTGTGTCCGGAATCGGCGCAGTGTTCAGCCACCAGAGACAAAGGGTCCATTCGCCTTACTGCCCTCATGTGTTCTCCAACACGCTTCTGTAGCCGTTTGCCGGTCTCCCCAATACCACACTTACCACCGACGATGGAAGGTTGTTTGCTTTTGAAACCTTATTACTGTAAGACTATGGTTCCCGTGATCGCCTTGTCTTCTCATTAATGTCCGGGGACACGCATCTTCTCTTCTATTGGCAATGTACATATGACAGATGGGCGCTTACCGATCAGTTTCTGTCAACCATGTTGTGTCCATCAGGTGCGGCTGCATGAGCATATCTTACCAACGCATCTTATCCAGATACGGTCAATCATGTCAACTTTATATCTGCGGTTTATCACAATATGAGCATATATATTCGGATATATGTGCAGGTAAGCCCGTAGTCACCTGCCCTATACAGAATGAAATGTTATTTCTCTCTATGTCTAGTGATAGCTTAATCATGCCATTTAGGCCCGTTTCGCCCACTAATTCGCTCAAAGATTTGTACAAATACACCAGACTGTCATTCAGCTGAATACAACTAAGTCAGGGGCCGCCTACGTTATCAGATATCGGTCAGAATGTAAATGCAGCAAAACAATAAATACGATCGGACTAGGTTCAACAGATTCGGCCTTTTACACAGAATTATAGTCGACTTTTTGTATAAAACCCTTTCAAAGCTGGAGAGCCGACCAAGCCCAACGATACATCAGCCACTCAACTCCACTGCTCCGGTGAGCCCTTCTTAGTGCTCATATTTTGGACGCGGATGTCTTGCATTTTCAAATCTCAATTGTCAGCATCTACTGTGTCAGGATCTGCAAGTCGTGATCATGTCCGCCCAGTCATCCTCATCGTCACTCTGACCCCCTGTGACCATGCTGTTGGCTAAAACTCTGCTTACGTATTTGCTGTGTATTAGGGGTTTGGTAGTAGGCCTAGTTGCGTGTCCAACCGTACCAGTCAGGTGCAAACTCTCTATTTGCTATGTTGTGACGTCTGCTATGCGTGCGGGAGGGTGGGAGGGAGGGGAGTGTGGTAGATGCGGCGCAGTTTTACTCTCACTATAAACTAACTCATTCGCATACCACCCTCACCTTCTTTGGGGAAGGTACATAATTTCAATTGTAAATTTTCTACTTTTGTTCCCGAAGCCGTCCTGAGTCGTGAAGTAATCGTGCCCAGTACTTTGAGCAAAGTATAGAAATCTACTTATTACTTCTCCAAACAGGTTAATGAAGTTGTTTGTAGACCTGCGCAGATTAGGGAATTCGAGTAAAATTCCCGACATGCTGGAAAACCGATGAATGCCATATGTATATCATATCGAATGGTAGAGGCCGCACACCAGTAGATTTTAAGGAATTCACTCATCTCGTTGTGCCTTAGGGATTTTTCTCGAGTCCAGCGGGCATCTTCACAAACATGCGGGATATTTAGGCAGAAAAGCATTACAGAAAAAGGTAATGGAGTCCGGTGAGTGCACTCCTACCATTGTATATATCCGATCGTAACCGATAGAGGAATGACCTCCGACTCAGTATTTCTGGGTGTTGGATTAATAACCAACATTTCGCTTGAGCGAGCCCAGTTTTTTCACAAATCGAGGTTGCGTATGACTGACTGACGACATCCAATAAGCGGAAATTAACATTTCAGTCTCTCATATTGTGGTTGGTAATGTCATTCTGCCTATTATTTGCGCCGTTTTGCGGCTGCTGTTGGGAATCGACAGTGCTAGTATAACACTCCACCTAATTCTTCATTGTAATGTTTTTCATGATTAATTGCCTTTGCTATCTTCATTTAAGTGCCTTATGTAGAACGCATGCTTGTCATACTCACAATTGCATGATGTAATCCGTTACATTATCGGCCTCTTACTCCTGTTCTCGAAACCTCAAAAATTTAGACGATTCATACACTGAAGGCTCCTATGACATCACACCAAGGTTACCTTGAGCACTACTCAGATAATTCTCTCTGCATTCGCAGACATTCCCAAGATGTGCCCATTCTTGTCAACTAACGCATCTGCTGATAAAAGTTAAAACCTCATTCGTTGTCGTGTAGTACTACTCACGCCACGTGAATGACATCCATCTTCGAACGGTCATCATGGCGTCAGCTGTCAACTGCACACTATTGTGCCCGACTTCTTGGTGACCTCTGTACCCTCAAAGCGCGTCTTCACGTTGCTCGAACTGGTCTGCAAGCTATAAAGTCGACTGGGTATTGATGTCATCTGATTTTTAAAAAATTATGCTAAGCGCGTTTCGGGTGATATGTTCGGACATAAGGGAAATTTTCTAAACAGGCCAAGGCATGTAGACTATGTTAATCCGCGAAACAAATCCTGGATGCTTCGACGCGCAAAAAGCGCTAAGAATAGTCAATAAGGCACACCCGGTATAAGGGAGTTATGTCAGTGTAACTGAAGGCTTTGTGTGAGAGAGATCAGCTGTTGAGAGTACGGCAGGATGTGCGACGGCTTAGCGCAATATGATAGAAGTATGTGAAATTAAAAATAAACGAAAAGGGAAAACTATGTTATCTGCGTCGGTCGTAATACGTTCTCTCAAGAAATCACGACAACGCATCCTTCCAATTGGATAGGTAGTTGTACCGCTTTGCTTTTATGCTGTTGCACGCATCAGCCAGTACTGACCTACTCCATATGCCACTGAACGGGGGATGCCATTCTATCATTACAAATAAATCTATGCGTGAATTGGATAGGGATAGGGATATTTAGGCAGAATAGCCTTAGAGAAAAAGATAATGTAGACCGGTGAGTGCACTCCTACCAGTGTATATATTCGACCGCCAGCAATAGAAGAACGACCCCGTGACTCAGTATTTCTGGGTGTTGGAGTAATAACCAACAGCTGGAGGGATCGAGGCCAGTTTTTCCACGATTCGCTGTAGCATATGACTGACTGACGACAGCAAACAAGCAGAAATGAACATTTCAGTCTCTCATATCATTGTTGGTAATATTAGTCTGCCTATTGCATGCGCCGCTTTGTGTCTGCTCTTGGGACTCTACTTGAGAGCCCCAAGGTACAACAGGACAAGTGAGTCCCATAACACAAAAGGGAGTACCGTTTTATCATCACACATAAATATGTGCGTTATGTGAATAGTGCGTTCTCGCTGAAACATGTCTAGAACATGCTGCTTTGTAATGCCAGTAGGATCTTACTTTAGGCATTAGGCTACGCTGTCGATTGTCAGGTCATGCAGAATTGAAAAACAGGGCAACAAGAACGCTCGTTAGGATGCATTCTTCAAGTGTTGCAATCATTTGTACGGAACTCTGTGAATTAGTGATGCCGCATTGCAATCCATAATTGAGTTGCTTGAAGTTTATGTATAACCATTCGGCAAGGTAGTAAGAAGGGGATCCAATAAGTGGCGCTCTGACGGTCAGCGGAATCCTTGCCTGTGCAGTACTCGAAGACTGTACGTACGTGCCATACTAAGGTCAATAAGGCCCAAACATCTGCTGTCATTGAGGCTTACGGGCTTCCATCCCGCGAGCTCATTCGCTTTCTTCTAAATATCCACTGCCTGCTTTTCGCCGGGTCTACAACGAATGGTGCATAGGCTTCCCTGTCATCGAAGATTTCGTTTGTCTTTTTGACACAGTCAGCCTTGTTGACGATATCGATTGCCCCACCATTGTCGGTAGATATGACAACTACTTCGTCATCTGTCTTCAACGATCGCAACGCCTTTTCCTCTTCAATCAACAGGGTATGGTAGTGTATGCTTTGTTGAAGGGGACCAGTCTCGTTGCTACGAATATGGACACCCATGTAATCAGAAGTTTCGGAGGTCACTAGGAGGGATTCAACGTTGTCTAGGAAGTCCGTAGTTGCAGCATCGGCGTGACTGATTCTCATTACCTTGGAATATGGGCCTATATCAGTGGATGTTAGACCCCTTTTTTAAAGGTGTACAACCGTCGTCGGCATTCCGACCATGATAGCCGTGTCAAGATAAAACTGTATTTTCTCTTACAAATGAGCCCATTTCATTATTTTGTCATCTTTTTTTGGCCGCTTAGCCCCACTCTGCCAAATAGACGTATGATGTCTCGTCTTCCCCGTCGTCCTGCGACACAGTGAACAACAAACAAAACCCCATAACGCCTCTTAAACTGACGCCCTGCCCCTTAACCTCATCGCTCATCAACGACCAGTTACCCGCATTCTACACCGAAAAACAATGCCCCGCTGCCTCACTCCTCCCGCACCAAAGCGGCACCCACCCGTCTCACGCATCAGCTATCTGTTTGTCGTTGTGTGTCCCGTCACGATATCTGACCTGATCTGCCGAACTCACTTTCTCCTCTCTTCATTTCGTCTGATAACGGGTCGGCGTCATCGACTTGAACATTTATGAGTGCAGGCGAATTTTGCGAAAAACCTTCTATTTTTCATTATATCACCTCGGAATGCACACCCCGTCAGTCATTCGTATTTTTATATGTTTGATGGTCGCTCAAAGACGGTATTACGTGATTCACTCGTCTACTCGAGCGACCGCTTCGGCAGATCATGAAGTAGAGTAGATGAATTAAAATTACCCTCACACGCTGTCTCCGTTAGTGCCGAGGCTTTTGGTTGCCTCTGGCGTCTGATACAGTTTTTTCAAAGCTGACTGAATATCCGTGTTGCCGCAAACGCCTATGGAATCAGATACGACGCCTCGTCACTGTCTTTTTGCGCACACCCTTGAGCATGATCACCGCTTCAACAGGGAGGGAAGTAAGGCAATCGCCAGTGCCAACACCGTTTTTAGAGATGTATAAATATCATAGATTCTGCGCCTATCCCACTAAGTGAATTTCAGCTGAATGAATTATCACCTCCCTATAATTTGGCGCCAACTAAACGCGTTATCCCCCCCCCCTAAGGCTTGCCTTCTCCTTATATATATATATATATATATATATATATAATGTTAGGGGGCGCTCACCGATCGTTCATACAGAAATCACTCGTTCCGTTGTGCCTTAAGGGCACTCTCGAGTTCGAGGCTCGGGTGTTCCACACTTCGGGCTTGGGTATGGCTGGCTGACGACGGCTAATAAGCCAGAAATGGCCATTCCAGTCTCCCTTGTCTTTGTCGATATTGCTATTCTGCCTATATATACATATATATCTTCCGTCAATTAAACCTAAGTTGTGGCTGCGATATGTAGACGACACGTTTGTTCTCGTTAAAAAGGACCAATTGAAAGCCCTCCACAACAATATAAACTCGACGATTCCGGGTATTACGTTAACACTCGAAAAGGAAGTCGACAGTAAATTGCCTTTTCTGGATGTTCTCATACAACGGAAGACTGACGGAACACTAAGTTCATCAGTTTACCGTAAAGACACTTACGCGGAAATCATTCTACCTTACAAAATCAATCAGCCAATTTCTCACAAACCGGGTGCTGTCAAAAGTCTGCTTAATCGAGTAAAAACACATTGCTCTGGTGAAGAAGGCTATCAAAACTAACTAAAATTATTTTGTGAATTGTTTTCGCGGAATGGGTACCCTAGAGATTTTGTGCGCCGATGTATGAGGCAGAAAGATTCGAAGAGAAAGGAGACAGATAGTCAAAATCAGACGGCCGAACCAAAAACTTGGCGAACTCTTCCTTACATTATAAATGTGTCTGAACTCGTTGAACGACACTTAAGGAAGCACCAAATTCAGGTGGCGCACCGACCGACGACTACTTTCGGCACTCAGCTCGTGCACCCTAAAGATAGGGTTAGCTATCTGGACAAAAAAGAAGTCGTTTACAAGATATCTTGTGAAACGTGTGATGCCGTCTATTGTGGCCAGACTGGAAAATGCGCCTCTACACGCCTCCCGGCGTTTCCCAAAGAACTTCATCTTTCTAAATATATATATATATATATATGTTGATAAGGTGATACCAACAAAGACAAGGGAGACCGGAATGGCCATTTTTGGCTTATAAGCCGTCATCAGCCAGTCATACCCAACCCCAACTGTGGATCACTTGAGATTCGAACCCGGGATCTTTTGTCATGGAGTTTGACGCTCTACCATTGAGTCAGGGGCCCGTTGTCGGAACTTTAGGAATTTCAGTAAACTTAGGATTTTATTTGCATTACGGACATCAGTGCAGTCGAATTTACTTGCATTGCGGTGCTTTTCAAATTTTGCTCTACGAAAGGGAGCCTAGAAACAACAGTAATACCGCGCTTATTAACGACTCTTCTACTTCATGAGCAGTCAGCTGTGCATGCCATATTTGAAGTTAATAATCAATAACAACATAAATTTTCACTTAAATATTAATTAATGCTACAGAGCATGTAACGTCTGAGCGGTAATCTTAAAAATCGCTTGTCTTCGAACGGAAAGACTGGGAATGGCAAATAACGAATGTTGAATGTGTACAAAATCGCCTTGTAAATCAAGCATATTTTACCGGAAAATGCGGCTAATAAGAAAGGTTTTCGGTGTGCGCCATTTCATTCAGAATTAACGTACGTTTGCGAGCGTTTATAAACCGAAATACATAACCTGAGATAAAAAGCTGGCCGGCGCTGTATATGAAAGCGCATCATTTTAAAATGTTTTTCGAACCGGTGTGTAAATGGACCAGTTTGCATGTTCACTGAGCAGAGAAGACGGTGAAAGACGCCCTATCTTGGTTTAGGGGACATTAAACTTATTAGCCAGAAGTATAACAAATTTGAAACCACCGTCCACACCGTCATTCTGCCCCTGGATTTGCAGTTGAGTGTTACAATTCAGACGACAGTTTACATGAGAATTAAAAACAGGTTTTCGCCGATACCTTTTACAGCCCAGTGACAAGATCTTGAATGATCGGGGAACAATCGCTGTGTGTTTATCTGCGCATGTCTAGTAGTCCTCCTGGACACCCTTCTATTATCCCATTATTACAGTCCCAATGCACACTTGTTGCAAATAATTATCACACAATTGACAACTATTGGAAACATGTTCTTTTATTAACAAAAACCACTGGATAGTGCCACAAGCAATGTGGTCAATACCAGCATCTCATCCAAACCTCAACAACCATCGTACAATTCCGAATTAAGTGAAGTAAACGACGATGTGCTGAGACAAGATATTTCACCATCGGTGTTAACTTTGGAAGGAGACAAGGTGGCCATTATTGTGCCCTACAGGAATGGAAAGGAACATCTGCTCCAGTTTCTAACTCGTATGCTGCAATTGCTCAGCAAACAGAGGAAGCAATATGTCCTAATTCTCACAGAGCAGACCGGCAATCAATCATTCAATCGGGCCAAGCTCTTCAATGTCGCTGTTAAGGAGATACGCAAAAGCGCTCCCGGTGACCGATTGCATGGAATAGACTGCTTCATCTTCCACGATGTCGACAAGGTGCCAACATTACCATCCACTGCCTCCGGGTGTGGCCAAAACGTTAGGTAACTGGCGACCGCATTTCGATCTAAAAAGTCAAAGTAGATGTTAAGAGATTTATGTCAAAGACGATTCAAGAGTTCTGTAATTGCGCTGGTATTCACTTAACTGATGGGACTTTCCTAAATCAATAAGCGACTGCTGCCTATCGGGAAAATAATTATTAAAAAAAACAAATTCGCCGGCGCTGGCTGGGGATGCAAACTATCATTCGCCCAACAATTAATACATTAAATGCTGATTGATGAATTCGCACTGGTCGCGTATGCAGTATTAGTCCAGTACAGCACTTGGAATTATACACGCGAGAGAAGCGACTGACAGAAATAAAAACTCTCCACACAACACATTAATAGAGTGTTTAATGAATTCGATGCGAACCATCCGCGAGACATGAACCCTGATGGAAAAATCCTTATATCCAATGATAAGGTAACCTCCCGCTGGATAAACTATGGAATAAACCAAACACCATACGAGCGTTTTGGTAGAATTTTCTATGATCAACTTGAGTAAATTTGCGTGTCTCTATGATTCATGCATATTTCTCGATTTGCCAAATAATCCTGTGAGTGGATTCTGTGGGCTGGGTGCATTTACATACAACTTCCATCTTTTAAAAGAAGTGCAGAGGGGACAATGGCATCCTAACTTGATGCTTTTGTAGACAAATGCTTTATAGTTTGTTTTCTGGACGAAATATAAAATATCGAGAAAACTGCATTTATACTATTAGTGAGTTGCCATATTAGAAAAGGCCTTCTAAGCTAAGTAGGAAAATATCAAACTGCTCATTGATCATTGATCATTGTTGACAAATAATTGTAGACATTACGTTTTGCCCTAACCTCTAACTTTATATCTTAAAGGCGCAAATGAATTAAATTTACTAATTTCTGAAACCATATAGAACATATCCGGCGTATATAATGAAACTTACTCCGAGATTCCGACAATTGACACTTGGACCGCCAATCACGACGATGTCTTCCGTGTGCTATCCAGCAAGGTGCAGCGGGCATGATGACTTGTGCATTATTTAGGTCTTAGTAATTGCAAACTTGAGCGGCATCAATCACATACTCTCTTCCCCACTCCCCACCCGGACCCGGTGTCATGATAGAGTAAAGCATTTAGGAGGCGGAGGAGGGCTCTGGTGGCTGATACTGCCGGACCCGCGCCTAGGCGTACCACCACACCCCTAGATCCACAATATACACTTAACCAGCAGTTTAAACAGAGAAAACAACTCCCCAACAGGGGTCAGAAGGATGAGGATGACTGGACAGCCAGCGGGAGTGAAAGCGCATCAACCGGCAGGAAACTAGGTGTCAGGGAACTGTCCGTGCATACCAGACTGCCATTGTCTCATGTCCAGGCGATTGCTATCTGAATTATGCAATTTTAGATAGACGTCCCTCTGCAGTGTAGATGTCGCTTTATACTA